TTTTTTTTTTTTTTTTTTTTTTTTTTTTTTTTTTTTTTTTTTTTTTTTTTAATGATTTCAATTATTAGCCGCCTTTCTTACTTTGTTCATAAATTAACCTAGGAGGGAATTGTTTTATTATCTCATTGAGTAGTACATTATTTACTATCTCATAACAACATATTTACTATCTCATTAATATGTGATCTTTTTGGATAAAGCCTAGGACCAAATTTTGTGCAAATTTAAACCTAAATTGGGACAACTTTGTTCACACTCCATGTCACTAAGTTTAGTATTGTCAATTGCTAAAAACATTGCTCCTACCTCCTTAGGTCGTACGGTTTTCTATTATAAGAGTTCATCCTGTTTTTCCTTTCTAACTAATGGAGTACTTTGATTGTACTCTTATTGATCCAAAAGTATATGTAACTGTAACAATTCAGACCCATTGCTAGTAGATATTGTCCAATTTAACTTGATATGTATCGTTGTCAGTTTCACAGTTCTAAAACTTGTCTATTATGGAGAGGGTTTGGCCCTACTCCAACTAGTGTCTCGCACCGTCTGATGACTAGCTTTGATACCATTTGTAACAACTCAAGCTCACTACTAGCAGATATTGTCCTTTTTGGGCTTTTCTTTACCGGCTTCCCCTCAAAGTTTTGAAATGAGTCTATTAAGGAGAGGTTTCCATATCCTTGTGAGTAATGTTTTGTTCTCCTCTCCAACTAATGTGGGATCTCACAATCCACCCCCTTTGAGGCCCAGCGTTCTCACTGGCACACCACTAACAGATATCGCCGTTAGCTTCACGGTTTTAAAATGTGTTTGTTAGGGAGAAGTTTTCACACCCTCGTAAAGAATGTTTGGTTCTCTTCTCTAACTAATTCGAGGTATCACGATCGACAATAATATCTCGTCTTTTACCAGCTATGTTGGGTCCCATTCCACCATGACGATGGAGAATTACAATAAGCCTACCATATTTTTTGGTGTTTCTCATTGGACTTTAGCCCATCTTCTCTTACAAGCTATCAAGGACAAAACCCTAGAAGCCCCACAACATTAAAATAATCACAAGAACAACATGTAAACATAATGAATAGAAGATTTATAATCACATAAACTTATAAGCTTAATTCATGATTATGTTAATTTCATCAAAATAAGAAGTAGCTAGAAAGGTAACTAATTAGCATTAGCACTAAATATAATATTAACCAAAAGACTTGAACCTCACACAAGTAGTAGAAATTAAAGTAAGATGCATGCAACATATCGTTGTCTAAACCAAAATGGGTATTGCTCAAAACAAAAGGGGTATCAAATTAAATTATGTGTATGTGTAAATTAATATATCTCAAAGCGTGGAAAAGCAACAAAGGTCATTATCTATCATATCAATGACCCAAAAAGAGATTAGTTAAAATAAATGAAGCTTAGAAGGTGTGTATATATATATATATATATATATATGTAACGTTTATACATGTATGAAGGCATAATAATAATGAATGTGAATAAAAGACATGATAATGAAAGCGAAAGTGGTGATTATGATATGCTTGATTGATGCAAATCATCTCACCATATTTGATGTAAATTATAGAACACTAACCAAAGTGACTCTTGCTTCTATGCATCGCAACCCCAATAACTTTCCAAGTAAAATTTCATCTCATTCATTATTAAATTAGTCTCTTACAAATCAATTTTTCGTTTTTTGTATTGTGACTTTTAAGGGTCTGGTTGGTTGAGACGATCGAAACAAAAATAGTCAGGATTTCGTCGTTTTTAATGTGTTCGAATGAATATGAATATGAATATGGTTAGGTTTAAGTAGGGTTGGTTAAGTTGTATAAAGTGTTGGATGAAATGTCTTTACAATTTATCTCTTTACTCCAATATGCTTCTCGTGCGCCCACTAACTTCCTATTAACTTTATGTGCTGAAGGCCAAAATGCTAAGCTGTGAACTGTTCTTGTTTGGAAGCACACTCATATTAGTTACAATTGTTCAACCGAGTTAATGATTTTGAGAACAATTTGGTGTGGCTGAGTTTAGCAAGGAGTAAAATCTATATACAGCATTTAAATGTCGGGCCGAGCTGTTTCTTCTCCGGCGGCCACTGAGCAGGCAATTTGCTCTCATTATACAGAACACATATTTCACAACATAGAAAGATTTTACATTGTTGGAAGAAACTGCCCTCCAAGGCTCAATTTGAAGTGTTGGCAGTAGATGCTCTTGGTTGCTTGCTTCCGTGCTCGGGCATCGGATGCTCGACTGCAGGTCTCTTTGTTCTTGACTGCCATTAGAAAAACCAGGGAAAGTCCATAAGGAATGTGTGTGTGTATTCTCACAAGCTCACCCATGTATAGATTGTAATTCATATCAAAGCATACAGATTCTTTACTAACCTTTTGTTCTGTATGCTGATAAATGTGTCGTAGAAGTATATTTTTTGGCTCAGTATTTATAACTGCAGCAGAAATCAGTGACATGGTAACAAAAACCAAGTTGAGGAGATGGAAACTAAAGCTAACAGTGGAAAACTACCGACTAAGGTACCGTTTGCCGATCAAGATACAAAGATATCGGTATGGTCGGTAAAATCATAGTCTCGGCATTGTAACGAGGGAACGGTTTTTCTTGCTTACCCTGATCCAGTGGTGGAAGGGTCCTGCTGTGGGTAGGATGATAGGTTGCTGGAATCATCTTCTACATAATAATAATAAAACAGACTACTTAGCAGAGTAAAAATATGTTGTTCTGCTTTAATTCTTGCAGCAGGCAACTTGCCTAGTAAAAATATGTTGCATTATTGTACACAATTTAAACAGCTTGGAGCTTTACGTTGTCCTCTTTGGACTTTCCCTTCTGGACTTCCCCTTAAGATTTTAAAACGCATTTACTAGGGAGAGGTTTCCACATCCTTATAAGGTATGCTTCGTTCCCTTCTCCAACCGATGTGGGATCTCACAATCTACTCCCTTGGGGACCAGTGTCCTCGCTAGCACACCGCTCGGTGTTTGGCTTTGATACCATTTGTAACAGCCCAAACCTATTGCTAACAAATATTGTCATTTTAGACTTTCCATTCTGGACTTCCCCCTCAAGGTTTTAAAATGCATATACTAGGGAGAGGTTTCCATACCCTTCTAAGGAATAGTTCGTTCCCCTCTTCAACCGATGTGGAATCTCACACCACCTGTCTAACATCCAGAAGGATTTCCCTTTAGAGAAGGGTACAACATTTGGTAGCTTTAGTTAAGATGGCGTTGGAACCTTCTCAATCAACAGCCTCTAACTAAGTTTCTTAGAGTTTTTTATCCTATTGCATTATCTTAACATTTGATTGGGAATTTTTACGCATAAATATTTGAAGTGAACTGTATAACTCAAGAAATAAGAGAAGCCATGAACATGATGCAACTTTTTGCCACCGCTAGCAAATATTGTCCTCTTTGGGGTTTTCTTTTAGGTTTTCCCTCACGGTTTCTAAAATGCGCCTACTAGGGAGAGGTTTTCACATCCTTATAAAGAATGTTTCGTTCTCCTTCCCAATTGACGTGGGATCTCACCGTTTGTATACTCAAAAGGAAGAGGCAACTTGCTCCTAGTCCAAAGATTGGAATGGTTGCGCTTCAGAATCGTTAGAAACTTGAAGATTGACCTACACATGAGAAATAAATTGTTTCTTTTCTCTGGAGGTCAGTAACCCAGTAATTGTTCCTTGCAGATTTGTCCCCTTAATATATCACATTACAGCCAATTCTTCGTGGTTGAGTTAGTGGAATCATTTCTTTCACAGGACTGACTTTACAAGATTAGCATACCAAGATAGAGAGAAAAGAAGAGTTAAAATTAAAAGAAGAACATTGAATTTACATCTACAAACTTAGCCAAATTAAGAACACATATCAAAATTCCAAGAATTCAAGAATTTCCAGATTCTAAAACGATAGAACAACACAATCCCAGAAAACAGATCAGTAATGCCAAAAATTAGCAGAGCCCAAACAGTAACATAGCAACGAAGATCACGAGGAGGTTCAATTTCCTCACAATTCACACCCTACCTCGACGAACAAACAACTCAATTAACTCCCCACTCAAAAGGAAATAAACAGCCGTCACAAATAGAGGAAAACACCAAGGATCAATAAAACAAACGAAAGGGTTCAACGATTACATGAATCAATTACAAGAACAGAATAAAGGGTGTGTGATTCCGCCACAAATGAGAACTTACAGAAGGAGTTGAAGGATCGGAGGGTCGGAGTTGGCTGAAGTTGTGAGGATCATATGACGGCAAGTCACCGAGCATAGACCCCATCAAAATGCCGCTGAATTTACGTTAGAAATAGAGGGAAGAGGAAGAGAAGCGAGTCATTTCGGAGTCACAGCGCCATTGGAATCACAACCGGTGGAGTCGCAGCGCCTTAATTTGTGTTTATTTACTCATTGAATTTTATAAAATTTTTTAAATAATTTTTAAATATTTAATAGATTTTTTTTAAAAAAATTAATACAAAATTTTTTAATTCAGTTTTGTATTTTTTAAGATATTTAAAATTTAAAACATATTACAAAATAAACAAACTCCACGTGTCCAATTATTAAAATTTCGGAAAAATATAAATAGAAAAAACCCGGCGGTAATTTGCTCGCTCCCGCTTTAGGTTTCGGAGTGTCCCGACTTGATTAAACTCATCGCATCCAAAACCTGAGGAGACATAGAAGTCGGCCGTGGATCTTCTTCTCGTAGAACCAAGCAGAAGCCATGGCTGCCCCCGAAGCTCCTCTCTGCTATGTCGGCGTCGCAAGACAATCCGCAGCTTTTCGCCTTATGAAACAGATGGTTACTTCCTTTTCTTTCTCGTTTTTCCACCTATCTAATAATATGGATTGTTCTTCATTCTGTATCATTGAATTTCCTGTGGAATCTGTAATTTGTAGGGGTGGGAAGAAGGAGAAGGGCTCGGCAAAGACAAGCAAGGGATCAAAGGCCATGTTAGAGTTAAAAATAAACAAGACACTGCCGGTTTGTCGCCTCTTCCAGATTTCCTTCCTGAATTTCAGTTTATGTTTAGTTTTTTGTTTCGTTAATTTAAGTTTTTGTTCTGCTTGATAAAACGTTCACTGAAAATGGTAGATGTTTCGATTTCTAATATGTATGTTCATGTGTGTGTTTGATTTTGGGATTTAGTGTATTGTTAGGGAACAAGCAGACAATCGTTTGATAATAATCGTGTTTTTTGTTGCTGTCTTTAAGAAATAAGGTTGCATCCCAATTGTTTCATTGTTTAGTTTTCTTCTTTCAGAATATGTTTTTAAAATTGTCTAATTAGAAACTAAAAGAGTAGTTTGGTTCTTTTGGGTAACAAGTTTATATCTGGAAATGGAAAGTTGAATAGAGAACGGTTTTTTAATTGCTCTATCGACTTCGTACTGCTAAATCAAGCTATGACAATCTGCTTATGAATAACCATCTGCTCAGATTGTATTTCCCAAATGAAAACAAACCCTAGAAGTTAAGTTTCAACCATCCAAGGGGCAAGAAATTAGCCTAGTTTGCATCGGCATTCCCAGATGGAGCCAGGCTATTCAGGGGAAGATTGAAAACTACTTAAGTAGTGTAGAATATGTTTGTAAGCCTTCTGGTGTTGTGTAGTCTGATGATTAGTGGTAGGAGTTTGATGATGTTGAGAAAAAAGGAAGGGTTTTCACAAGCACCATTTTCTGGAATGAAGACACACAGATATATGACAACAATTAGCAACATAACTAGGCTCTTATGCTAGATTTTTACTTGTTTTGACTTGTTCCCAAATCATAGTAACACCAGCTCGTAAATTGTGGCTCAATATTTACGAATGCATTGTAGCTTGTTTTGACTTCTTCTTTGCTCTTAGGAATTGGCACTGAGAAGCAGAACAGTTGGGCTTTTGATACCACACAATTTGACAACATCTTGAAGAGACTGAAAGTGGTATTTCCCTCCATTCTTTATTTACTGTCTTGTATTAATTTTGTGCATATTTTGAGAGTAGCTTAAAATTTTCTTTTTTTTTATTGCAGCAAGCAGTACAAAACACCGAGGAAGGTAAGAACTTTGAGCATTGGCTTCAGCATTACAAAAGTATGGCATTTCCTGATGTTTATATTATGATGATTTTCAGCTGCAAAGAAAGATGGCACTTCGGTGGAAACTGTGGATGATGATCAGGATCTGGTTGTCAAGGCTACACGACCACAAGGAAGGTTGGTCCTGTTGTATTCCTCTCATTTTATATTTACTCTTATCACTTATGAGTTGTATCAGTATAATGTAATTTATTTTATGCTCTACCCCTATAGTTTAATTACATGGAGATGTACATTTTACATTTCTTTTCCAGATATAAGAGAAGAGAGAGAGGAAAGCTCGTCAATGCATATTCTTCCAAGGACCTTGAAGGGATCCTTGTAAGTATTGAAGTTACTGGATCTCTCTTTTTCATGGCTGCTTTTGTATTATGGGTTCTTCTAATTTTATGAATGAACTTTGAGTTTAGCTAAACTTGACCAATTATTTCTTCTAGCGTTATCAATATATTAGCAGGTCAGTCAAAGTATTTATAGTTTCTCTTATGTGAATCTGAATGTAATTGGGGGAAAAAAGTTTATCTACAATGCAGGCAAAAAAGGTGGAGGAATTACCAGAAACATGTCCTAATGCAGTTACGGAACTGGAGTCATCAGAGGAATCTGAAATTGAAGTTATTGCCATTGAAGGTAATTTAATCTTCCTTTTGTGATGCATTTCTGGCCTGGTCTTTAAAATGTTTGATTCACCAAGGATAAATGCTATTATCTTTTTTTTTTTTTTTTTTTTTTT